CTGCATCTGGGGTCGTCTCCAGTCATCCTGACCTATGTCTTGCCACCGGGCTCAGATGACTCTAGAGGAGAGAATGAGGCTGGTGACTTTGCACAGCCCTGCCTCACTTAAATCCAGTTCACTTGAAAGCCAAGACATCACCCTCCTGATGTCATTGGTCCTCTTCAAGAACAAAGGACAGCAATAAAACAGCAATGCACTGTGAGTAATTAAAAAAAAAGTGAAGATGCAGCAAAACAGAGAACGAAGCACACCTCCTCCCTCCCAGCAGAGAAGCAGAAGACTAGGAGGGCTGGAGGAGGGCTGGGAAATGATAATGTGAAGACAAAAGGCATCAGTAAAATGGATTTTTTTAAAAGAAGTTATATAGGATTTTATATTATCACAAAGTCTAGAATTTGACAGGAATTAGAGGCATTGAGGCTGGCTGACTTATTTTACAGATGAAGAAACTGAGGCTCAGAAAGGAACTTGCTCAAATTTTACCAGGGGTAAGGATCAGAGCTGGGATTTGAATTCAAGTCCTCTACCAGCCAATTCCTTGTTCTTTTCATGCTGCCTTTTCATGTAGCATCAGTGAACTTCAGAGCTGAAAGGGCTGTTGGAGCCCATCAAGTCTACTGATTCTCCATTTTTGTTGTTGTTGTTTAGAGCACAGCATTATTTTTGTATGCTGACAGTTCAGTTGGCAGCCCTACTGGGATAGTCCAGGGAATTGTACATGCACAAAGGTAAGTTTTATAGAATTGTCAGGAGATCTGCAATTGTCATTTTCTTTCAATTTTCAGCTTATCTAGACAACTTGGGGCATACTAGTATACCAAAGCATGCCCTTTAGAAACCACTGGTATAGCCCAATGCCCTCATCTTGCAAAGGATGGAGACTGAGAGAGGAAATTATATGCCCAAGATCTTACAGCTATTATGAATCAAACCCAGATGTGAGGCCAAATTCAGGACTCTTGGACATTCTTTCAGTTTCTATAGTCCTTCATTCATCTGACCTCATTTGTTGGTTTTTGGCATGATACATTTCTCATTTTTCTATTTGGGCCAGATTCACTCAGATTAATGTATTTTAATATCCTGGAGGGCTCATTTTTGGAGTTATAAAAGTATCTGACCTTGTAGACAACAGAGGCTATTGGAGATGCTATGCACTTTCTAGAGTAAGCCAACATCCTTTCTCAAAGCAAAGTACCTGGATGCCAACCAGTGGATAAATGAACATTCTGCTTCCGTCATTCAGAGTTGATGCCCTTTCTCATCCAGTCAACCACTAGGGGACACTATCATTCATAACCTATGCTGTCCAGTGGAAAAAGGACAGTATGGGAGACGGGAAGGCTATACTGCTCATCTTTATATGCTTAGAAAGATTGCTTTTATATGCAAACACACCCACACACACCCACAAACATATACACACTCCAAATACTTCTTATTAAGTTATACATCAAAAAAAAAAAGAAAATCAGAGAGATAAAAATGTTCATGAGCTTAATGTTAAAAAAATATGAGTGCCATTAGAATTTGAACTCCTTGAGGGAAAAGATGATGTTTTTGCCTGTCTTTGTGTCTTTGTATCTCTGTATCTCTAACACTTGACACATTGTAATTCATGTAATACAACATGTAATTATATATAATAATAATAATTCAATGTGTTTCGGTCATGTTTTCTCTTCATGACCCCATTTGGGGTTTTCTTGGCAAAGATATTGGAGTGGTTTGCCATTTCCTTCTCCAGCTCATTTTACAGATGAGGAAATTGAGGCAAACAGGGTTAAGGGACTTGCCCAGGATCACACAGCTACTGAGTGTCTGAGGCCAGATTTGATCTCATGAAGATGGGCCTTCCTGATTCCAAGCCCAGTGTTCTATCCACTGCGCCACCTAGCTACCCAAGTGGCGCATAGCAAGTTTTCAATAAAACACTCGGGGACTGACTAAGGAGCAGCTACCAGAAGGCCGCGGAAATGTGGGTGCTAATGTTTAGAGAGCACCCCACTTCTTTGCCCACAACCTGTCTAGTCCTCGCTCGGAATGGCATGGCACATACATTTTCAAGACAAGTTGCCCTGTGTAAGCAGAGGAAGGCTGAGGAGCAGGGACTCCTGGGAAACTATCTCCTCAGTGGGCACTCCACCGAAACTGAGGAGGGCCCTGCTCGGGAGAGTAGTATCACTTCTACAGCTTTGGCTTCCAAATATCACCCCAAGGACTGGATCGTGAGCAGGGACCAAGTTGGGGCAAAGGGCATCTAATCTGCAGTTAGAAGATCTGGGTTCAAGTCCTACTTCCGATGCTTACTACCTATGTGATTTCAGTCCTCAGTTTCCTCATCTGTAAAATGAGGGGTTTAGAACAGATGACCCTAGAGGGACCAGGGACTTGTCCCAGTTCACAGCAGCTATGTACAAGTATCTCAGACAAGGTTTGAACTCAGATCTTCCTGACTCTAAGACCATTGCCACATCCTCTTTACCACCCAGCTGCTTCTCATCTAGGTTTGCATCTCAGATCTGCCACTTCCTAATATGAGACCTTGAGCCAGTCACTTCCTGACTGTGAACCTAAACTGCCTTATCCATAAAATGGGGACAGGCACACCTGTGAGGATGACAAGGAGGAAACACGCATAATGGGGATCATTCCTCAGTACCCTCCACAACACCCTCTTTCGAGATGGCGCCTTGGCATCAGCATCCAGACTCTAGGCTCTGGACGTCTGTGCTCAGTGCACAAGTTCCTGCAAAACTGAGCAAATTTCCAGTCAGGATGCCAACACATTTTGTGTCTGGGGTCCAAGGACCAGTCTAGCTGTGTAGAGTAGAAGGCTCACCGCCACCTAGTGGCTCACCAGGGAAAGACCCATGCATCCATCTGGCAAGGTGTGGGACTGCCTTTGCAGATGGATAAATCCCAAACCTCTGGAATAAGCATAGCACTTGTTAAAGCGCTCTATCTGCACGACCTCATTTGAAACTCATCTCAGCCCTCTGATGGAGTTACCACTAGTATTCCCATCCCCATTTTACACGAGAGGAAACTGAGGTTCAGAGAGGGCTGAGATCTGAACCCAGGTCTTCCTAACTCCACTCCCAGCACTCTTTCCACTACACCATGCCGTATTGAAGTATTATTCCATCAGTGCCTCAGGTCATCATGATTTTATCTCCTTGGCTCACGATTAGTGAAATGATTGTAGATTGCCATTGAATTCTCCAACTAGAGAAGTCATACGGGAGAGGGTCAGACTCTGTAGAGAACTGTCCCAGAAGCTATTTAATAATCTGAAAGGAATATATCTTACTGGCAAAACTCGTTTCCCCTCAGAACATGTGGAAGAGCTAGAAGACAAGAAGCCTGTGCTGAGGTCACCAATTTATGTTGCTTCAAAAGCTCCTAGGCTCATCAGATGAGAAGCTCAAATGGACTTGGGCAACATAGAAGCCAATCTCTCCTTTTCTGAGGGGAAACTGAGGTCCAGAGAAGCAAAGTGATTTGGTCAAAGTCACCCAGAGCAGAAACAGGTTTATAAATGTCTACAGCCAGCATTTACTTAATGGTCTTTCACACTCTCAGGTGGTAAACTCAGGGAGTAAAGAGGAAAAAAAAAAGATGAGAAAAAGGAGCGCGATTGGGCCAAGTGACATGGAGGTGATCCATGCGGAAGCTGAGAGCATTGAGAGATTGCTATACAAGGTATCTTAAGGAGGAAATCGCAGACTCCGCTGATACTTCGTAAAAAGGCATTCCAGAGCACGTCATCAACCACCACTTACACGTCGGTTCTCCCGTTCACACAAAATCTCGATGAGTTGTGTGGCTACGACGGGAAGGCTTCCTCCTCGATGGGGGTTTCAGTAGGCTTTGCCAATGGATCCCACCTTTATCATTTTACAATCCACTGAAAGAAGTCCAGAATGAGTCCTTGTGCTTGTCTGCAGAGCGCCACAAAAGCGTCTGATTCTGTGGGGAAAGAAGAACCGCAAGACCGACCCAGCACGCGGTCTGGCGAGGCAGGAGGGCCGGCGCTGCCCGCCTCCCTCCAGGAGCACGGGGGGCCCGACCGCCTTGAAGGACTAGTTCGGGAGGTGCAGGGTGGAGGCGAAAGGGAGACGGGCTGCTTAGGGTCCCCAAAAAGTCTCTTTTGCTTTTCGTATTGATCTTCTGGGAAGATTGACAAGCGTTCCGCGCTTTTGTGTCTTGGCGAATAGCACTCTTGACTGGCGATCTCACGTGCGCTGCCCTGTCCCTGCTCTACACTGCATACAGCAGGCGCCTTTCTATTGCTCCCTTCCGCAGATCCTGGATCCAGTCAAATCTGAGCTTTCAGGGAAAGGGCAGGCGTTTCTGTCCCACACCGGGGGCTGCGGGACCCCCTGCAGCCTCTTCAGGGAGGAGGGACAGCCTGGGACCCACTCGGGACCTCCTTCGTTTCGCTTCCCGGGTGCTCCCCCACCAACTTCTCCAAGCCCCATGCGTGGAGTCTCAGGCCCCTCACCCATGGGCGGAGCATCTGGGGAGGGGGGAACAGGAGGGGTAGCCCGGTCCGCAGCCTAGCAGAGGGAGGGAGGGCCCTTTTCGCCTTCTCGGGCCACTCGTGGCCACGCCCCCAGTTCTGAGCCCCGCCCCTCCTCCCGCGCGAGGCTACCTAACTGTCCTGGCTCCGCCCCCTCCCTCTCTCTGCAATGCCTGCCCTCCCTCTCCTCCAGCCTCGCTACCGTCTCGTGCTCCTAGGTATCCTGGCCAAGCCCTCTCCGTTAACTCCGCGGTCCTCCTTTTCCCTCGCCCCTCCCCTCCCTAGCATTCTCCGCCTCTCTGCCCCTTCCATTAGCCACGCCCCCCTCCTGCTCTTCTGCCTGGCCTCCTCTCTGCTCCTCCCGCCCCGCCCCTCCCCGCCCCTTAGCTCAGCCCTCCCTCCCTGCCCCTCCAATCCCCACGCTCCTCCCGCTCCCTCGCTCCGCCCCTCGGCCTCGTTCTGGCTCCCGTTCCTCCCGTTCCCCCCTCCCTCTCCGGTTGTCGCGAGATCCCGGCTTCGGCTCCCGGTCTGTGACAGCTACCTCGGTGACAGCGGCGCTGCTGGGCCAGGCGATGGCGGCCCTCCGGCGGCTGCTGTGGGCGGCGCCGCGGCGCCTGGGCCCCCCCTTGTCCGGGCCGGGACCCAGGCCGGGGCCGGGGCGGTCGCTGTGGGGGCGGCCGGAGCCGGAGGAGCGGGAGGAGGACGAGGAGGCCTGGCAGCGGCGGCGGCGGCGGCGGCGCTGGGGGGAGCTGGGCGCGGCGGCCGCGGCCGGGGGCGGGCTGGTGGGCGCCGTGTGCCACCGGCTGTACGGGCCGCAGCCGCAATGCCCCCCCGACGAGCCGGGCCCCGAGCCCGCCCCCGGCCCCCCAGCCGCGCGCCTGCCCCTGGCCGTGGCCGCCGCCGCCAGGGACAGCACGGTACGTGGAACTGAGGGAAACTGAGGCACGGCAGGGGGTGGGGAGGGCTCAGCAGACCCCGGCAGGGCTCCCGACGCCATGTTCGTGACCTCCGAGGGAAGGGGGGACACGGGGGACAAGGGCCAGAGGCCCCGGATCGATCATCGGCATTGACCGCACGTGACGGGGGCGGGAGGCGGCTTGGAGCCGGCCAGGGGTCGGGGCTGGGGCAGGGGCAGGGGACGGCCTGGGGTGGCCTCCCTGAAAGTGACCTAACCGCTAATCATTAAGCGGATTATTGGGCGAGGGCCAGGCCGGAGGAGCCCCCGAAGCACTTAGGCTGGCAAGCCTCCGGCTCACCGGCTAGACGGCGATGGCCCTGTAGGCTTAGGATCCAAATTCGCCTTTGAAATCTTACACAGAAAGGGGGATCTCCCCCAAAAAGAGAAGCAGCAGAGGGTAAAAAATGCTTGACAAGATTGCTAAGTAAGCAGTCATCCTTCAAGGCCTTCAAGGATGAACACAAAAATAGGCCTACAAAAAAACAAAAAATTGAAAAGATTTACAAAAACTATTTTTAAAATGGTTTTGTCCATTAAAGATAGTAGAATCACTGTACTTCAGCCGTTGGCATCATGGTGAAAATGGCAATAAAAATAGAAAAGATGGAGAAAGCAACTGGATAGGATGCTGAAAAGGAGATTCTTGCTGGTGGTGATACAATTGAGGGCATCATGTAAGGTATGAATATACAAAACTATCTGAAGAGGGGAAGCTACCAAAGGGTTGGGGTAAACCTTGTATCCTATTAACAGAAAAAAGTGATTGAAAAAATACCATTAATGAAGAGCCTATATGTCCTCTTTCCCAACTACCTAGAATCTTTTATTAGACATCTGTACCAGAATTCCAGTCGTCCTCATTAGTGGGGAACATGCAGGTATTCAAAAGTGATGTACTCAACAACGGACCCCAACTTTTCCATCTCACAATTAACAAAGGTGTAGAGTGGAGAATTTGAGAAGCTGTTGTGCTTACTGTTTGGAGATGATGGAAATTAAGCATTTGATTCAGAAAAAAAGAATGTGGTCTTTGAGGCTCTTCTACACGCAGGTGTCTGCTATCCAGATGTCAGGATCATTTGGGATTCTTTGAAGGAAGCAATAGCAGAAACAATTCTATTCAGTGTTTGCTCTGTTAATAATCAGGGGGCACATGCCTGTCCAAGATCTTCACCTTTGGGATGATGGAGATCCCCCCACCCCAGCCCTGAGTCGAGGTTGAGGAGAGCTTCCCTCCCAAGGAATGGCAAAGTCCTCCCAATGTGCCTATTTGTTAGTGACCTTGAGCTGATTGTGTGGAGCCTCACAACATTGCCAAGCCACGTACCTCCAAAGGAGTGTGAAAGCTCCTTGAGGTCACAGACTGTCTCTGGCCTTTCTTTGTATCCCTAGGGCTTAGCACAGTGCCTGGCACATAGAAAGTGCTTGATAAATGCCTTCTGAGAGAGATCTGCAATCGCTGAAAGGAGTTCAGTTTGTTCATCCCACAGGAAAGACCAAGGGAATGGTTGATACCTGCTGCCCAGATTTCTGAATGGACGGGCAGGATGGATCAACAGTGAGGCAGGCCCAGGGCTGGGAATAAGTAACACCAGCCAGATTGCTTTCAACAAGCCGACCCCGAGTCTCCATCCCGTGAAAGCAAAGGCTCATCTTTTCAACAGTAGCATCGCTGTATAGCAGCAAGGTATCACTTCCTCCCAAGGACTAAAGATAAGACTCACAGAAGGGAATTGAGAGGCACGTGGTGGGTGGAGCAGGCTGCCGCAGCGCACAGTGGGAGTCAAGGAGACCATCAAGGACTTGGAGAGCAACAAGGGAAGATAGAGGGAGGGGTGCCTGAGGGCTGCCAGGATGCTCCACTGGTATCCTTAGGATATCACGGGAGTCACAGGAATTGGGTTATGATCTTCATTGTTGGAAGGACCCCCAAATCCATGAAATCACAGTCCCGTTTGAGCATTTTTTGGTCTTCCTGATGACCGACTCATGTCACTCAGCCAGTGCTCGAACCCTTTACAATTTGGTAGATAGGACCTGCTGGAACTGGTCCTCTGAATAGAATGAGGGAGGACTAAGTAAGCCAGAAGGTCGTCTTCCTGATGAAGCAGCTCAAATGCAGCCACTTCTCCAAGTGCAAAGGGGGATGAAAAATGGTAGCATTTTAGGATAGAGTCAAGATGCTTTAGGATGATTGTTTGAAACTTTTTAAGTGAAACTCAGTTTAACAACATTTTGTGGATTCTCTCGTAATAGGATTTGACTGAGAAAACACCAAAAAGCTACTGTGAATTCAGTCACTGTTTTAATTGCATTTGTATTAAGAAAATAACATTTTCATAAATTTCCAAAATGGTCCTCTGTATGTGAATGAGGCATTTATTCAGTTCACAATAAGAGGTGTTATCATATAACTTATTTGTGGATTTGTAACTGGCATTTGACCTTATCACTCAACTGAAACTGTTCTTTCCAAAATTACCAATGATGTGCCAGTTCCTGAATGCAGTGGACTTTCTCCTTCCCTTATCTTCTTGACTGACCTCTCTGCAGCTTCTTGATGCTGCAGACCACCCTTACCCTGGGATACTCTCTCCTTCCTGGATTTTCATGACATAGCAGTCATTTGGTTCTCCTCCTATCTGTCTGACCACTCTGTGGTCTCCTTTGCTGAATCATCATCCATATCATGCCCCCTAACTGTGGGTATTCTCAGATCTGGCCACGGATCTTCTTTTTCCCTTCTATATTCTTGCTTGGTGACCTCATCAACTGCCATGATTTTAATTATTATCTATGCAGATGTATCACCCATCTATATATCCAGTCCTAGTCTCTCTCCTGAGCTCTATTTACACATCCCTCCAACTGACACACATCCTATAAGCATCTCAAACTCAACAAGTCTAAAGCAGAACTCATGACCTTTTACCTGAGACCCACGCCTCTTGTATTGGCACCATCCTATGGCCATTCACCTGGATTCACAACATTGGGGGTGTTATTGATGCGTCGCTCTCCCTCACCCCATATATGTAACCAGTTTACCAACACCCAACCTTTGTACCTCTCCCTTAGTCATCTCTCCCCTCCGTCTACTCACACAGACTTCACCCCAGGTCAGTCTCTTTCATCAGCCTGCACCAACTCAGTAAATGCTCCCTATGGCCTTTGAGGTCAAATATAAAATCCTCTGTTTTGCTTTTTAAGCCTTTCATGACCCTGCCCCACCCTACCTTTCCAACCTCTTTATGCATTACTTCCTTTGCCGACTTCTAAGGCCAGACTGACCTTTGTGGTCTTCCTCACAATATGCTCTGCCTTTGCATTGACTATCCTCCATGACTGTCATGCAGTCCTTTCTCATCTCAGTCTCCTGAAATGCCATGTTTCCTTCAAAACTCATTGAAATGACCACATTCTACATGAACCTCTTTTTTTTTGTTTCCCCCACCTGCTTAGCCTTCCTCCTCTTCTCCCCTAATTCGTATAGATCTTTGTATCTGCATGGCTCTGCTGGCCAGACTGTAAGCTACCTCAGGGCAAGGATTATTTCATTTTTGTCTTTGTGTCCCCAAGGTCTGCATCAATGCCTGACACGTAGTTGGCACTTAATAACTGCTTGGTGATTGGTTGATTCTGTAGTTGTGGTTACATTCTTTGTTCGGATGGCTAGCGCGTTAAGTTTTCAACTTCCCAGTCTGCCGCTGTTGTTAATCCTTCCTTTTGAAGAGGACCAGTGACATCACAGGATGATATCTTGACTAGCTTGTGAGTTGGATCCAAGTGAGGCAGAGTGCCCAGTCATAAGCCTCACTCTCTCTTCCAGAGTCACTGAAGTCCAGTGGCAGGACAAAAGTCAGGGTGACTGTCTGTGGCTTAGGCTGCAGTGGGTGACCTTGGCACCTTTGATGTCTGACCAAGCTCTAAGCGCTCCACAGCGCCTGCGTCAGCCACCTTCATGGCCATTGGAACAAGTTGTTCTTATCCCCCATTCTGCAGGAGGAAGTCTTCACATGCTTGGGGTAGATACCCCACAACTCACTGAAGGGTTTGAGACCTCTTGGTTACCCTCAACCTAATTTAGACCATCTGCTGAAATGGTTTGCTGGGGTGTGGCCACTGTGCATGCTGCAGCTTCTTGGAGCCTCGAGAGTTGGGTGAATCAGGTGGACACCGAAGGTGGATGAGCAGCCCTCCCACCAGAGGTGCTGGTCCTCCCTGAACACCTCATACAGCCCAGTCTGCTGCCTTGGCACATATGGATCCAGTGTGTTAGAAGCCAACTTCCCCCAAAATGATAGAGAATCAATCCTCATCTTCTCAGAACCTTAAAGAAATATGTTCTTTTTTTAAATATAAATTTATTTATTTTTAGTTTTCAACATTTATTTCCACAAGATTTTGAATTCCATATTTTCACCCCAACTTGCCCCTCCCCCCACCCCAAGATGGCATGCATTCTGAATACCCCTTCGCCTAGTCTGCCCTCCCTTCTATCTCTCCCCCCACCACCACTTCTCTTATCCCCTTCCCCTTTCATTTTCCTGTAGGTCAGGATAGAGTTCTGTACCTCATTTCCTGTATTTCTTATGGAAATATGTTCCTAATATGGTGAACTGTTTTGGAAAAAAAAATCAGGGGATAAATCTTATTTAATGTCCAATTTGTTTTAGATCTGACCTAATTTTCCCCCAACACTGGCCCTTGGGAGTCCTTGCTAGTTCATGAAACCACATATCCGAAATGTTTGCATTTTGTGATGATTTAGATTGTGTTCATCCAAGTTAGCTATTTTTAGTTCTGTACTTGAAGGAAATGTCACTCAAGTTCAAAATTCTGGTCTTTATTGCAGCACCAAATCACAGGACACAGTATTGATTTTAGCTAAGCAAGTTGTGCCAAAGTTTTTGTCAGTAAATAGTGACTCTGAACTTTTAGTCTGCTGAAAAGAGGTGT